TTCAAAGTGTATTTGATGCCCAAGAATTTTAAAATATGTACAAGCCCTGAAACCCAGTTGTTGGTACCTTGCTTATCTAGTTGGATACCAACGTTGTAGGCTTCCTTGACCAGTGTGTTTTTATGGTTTTTAGTGATGTTTTGCCAGTATTTTACCATCTGTGTCAGGTTTGGAATGATGAGGGGATATCTACCCAATTCCAACAGACATGCAATATTAGTTGCTCTACTGTTAACATTCAGTAAATATTTACAGTACCAGGGTATCTGCTGTGGAGTTTCTCTATTGGGCGCGCAAGATTAAATAAATTTAATGAGTCTGTTATTCCTTCATTTGACCAAATCTCACTGCAGTTATAATATAATTGGTTTGATCATTGAGTCAAACATTTTTAAGTATACTTTTATTGGGATATTGGTCTGTTTTAGCTTAAAGCATGCTTTTGTTGCTCTGTTTTTAAGATCTTCCTGGGCTTTATTTAATTTACTTGTTGAGTTTAGTTTAATGCCCAGGTATGTGTAAGAAGAGACTTTTTCTATCTCTTTCCCATCTATAAAAAATTTAAATTTTTTAAGAGTTTTACCTGATTTATTAAAAACAATGGTTTTTGATTTTGATGTATTAATTTTCAGGTGCCATTTTGTACAGTATTTCTCTAAAGTATTCAATTCATTTTGTAGACCTGAATTTGAATTTGACAATAGGACTAAGTCATCCGCATATAAAACAGAGTCTACAATGTATGTGTGCCTTGATGTCATTTATGAAAATGTTGAACAACATGGGGCTTAATCCGTCACCTTGTCAAATTCCTCTCTGTACCCTGAACTGTTCAGTGAGGCCATGTTTGACCTTGACACAGCCTAGAGAGTTCATGTACATTGACTTTATGATTCTATAGAATTTACCAGAAATACCGTTTTTTAATAGCTTATAAAGCAGACCATGGTGCCAGATAGAATCAAAGGCTTTATGACACATGCAAAGATATATTTACCCTTGGATAGTTATTTTGTGAGTAATTGTTTAAAGATAAATATATGGTCAGATGTCCTGAACTTTGACATGAAACTTATTTGTTCTTTTATAATTACTTTTCCATCATTAAGATGCTTAATGAGCCTTGATTTTAAAATTGCTGTGAATAATTTACTGAGGGAATTTAATAAAGTAAAGCCCCTATAGTTACCTGGATCCACTTTATCTCCTTTCTTAAAAATAGGAGTTATGGTACCCAGATTCCAGCTGTTTGGGAAGTTACCCATGGATAGAACTAGGTTATACAGAGTTTGTAAAGGTTTTATCAAAATATGACAACCTGATTTAATCATTTCGTTTGTTATTTTATCAGCACCAGGTGTTTTTTTTTTTTCAAATTATTTATTTCTTTTTTGTATCTCTGGTTGAGATATTGGTTGATCTAAAACCAGTCGATATTGCTCATTGTGTTCCATAAACTCGAGTTCATCTTTAATGCTTTGATTTGTTTTTTAATTAGCTGGACTTGCATTTAAATTGTTAAAATGATCAAACCATTTTTGGTTGTCAATGTTTTTCAAATGATTTTCTTGAGGGTTATTTTTAAGCTCATTAATTAAATTCCAATATTCACTTGGTTTCGATTGGCTCAGATTATCAAGCTTTGTTAGAATGTTATTTTTAAATTCCCTTCTTTTTTTTTCTTAACTAATTGTTTATATTGTTTTTTTAGTTTATAGCATGCCAACCTTTTTTCTTTATTATAGGGATCTGAGCTAAGCTTGGAGGATAGTTTAAATATATCTTTCTTCATGCTAATAAGATCGACTGTGTCTGGTACACAGCCCTCTTAGGATGTGTAGTTTTGTTATTGTGTTTTTCATTATACGTACAACTTTATTGACCACAACCACAGTCCCTCTATCACTCTAATCCCGTAAGTGATAGAGGGATTGTGCCACAACCTTCCATTTCTGGAGGTATGGGAAAAAAAAAAAACATACAGAAAAAATCACACAGCAACAAAGTATTCTCTAAGATTGTACATTTGATAAAGGTGTGATCCAACCGAGTGAGCAATATCAGATGGAGGATCCATGATAAAGTAGGATTTATGGGTGTTGTTGAATATACTAAATGTGGGATAAAAGGAGACAATTGTGATGAAGAATTTATCCCTTGTCGGGTTGAGTCTGGTACACTCAGTGACGAAATGGTATTCTGATTCCACCCTATGGTTTGTACAAATTTGACATGTACGAAAACATACGGGGGGGGGGGGGGGGTTAGACGGATTTGCAGTATACCCTTTTTTAGCCCAGTCTATGCAGCCCACCATTTGCTGTACACCACTTCGCTAATGCCCAGCTGTGACACTTAGTAGCTACCGGGTAAGTGTTGTCATGGCAAAAACAATAATAGGTTAGAAGGCGCTATATATAGCAGTTGTTGAATCGGGTAGAATGGCAACCTTTATCACTCAACAGTTATACTCAAAAAAATAAAATATAAATAACCACTTAAAAAATTGTACATTTATTCCCAATATGCAAAGCAAAAATACAGCCATTACCATATCACCAAACAACTTATAATGGAAGAACATGATTTTTTTTTGTTAAACCTCAAAATATTCTAATATTGTACATGGTAGAGTTGTATTTTCATATAATTTCTTTGTTGATTAAATATACCGTAGGTTTGATCATGGTGCAAGGAAAGGACACAATCCACAGAATGTGCATTTGTTTGATGCAAAAATGTCAATAAGTACATTACAGGAAGTGTGGTATCTAAAACACTTGTGCAAAAAATACGCAATGATGCAGAATTAAGCACTTGCAATAGCTTTGAGCTAAAAACTATTTTCACAATTATCCAACTATGAAAATTTATAAATTTATATCTATTTTTTTAGAAGTCACTCAAAAATTCAACAACAGGTCAAAATTTGAAACAAAAATACAGAAATTGGCAAAATTGGCAGACTAATCAGCATAAATGATAATAATTTTTCACACTTGTGACATTCTCACACTTTTCGACCAAAATTCTAAAAATTCTAAACAACAAAGAAATTAAATTCCACATATTACAGAGTATAATATTGTTTATACAATTTTTACTTCCACTGAAGTTTTGAAAACTACTGTAAAATACTTTATTTTCGCTTAAAATTAATTTCCGCTAATGGGTTGATTCAGTGAAACTAAAATCCATACGAAACACCCAAAAAGTCTTTTCAGCGAAAATTAATTCCAGCGAAAATAAAGTGTTTTACAGTAACATGTAAACTTTGTAAATAAACTATGTACTATCAGCCTCTATACAAAACATGAAAGTTGTTCGTGAGCATTCAATCTATCACAGTCCCTCTATATAGACTGTGAATCTATTAGATTATCAAAATTATCACCCTCTTTTGTTTCAAAAGTGTTACGTGATTAAATATTTCCTGTTCACTGTGAGATCCCACATTATGCATGAAATTATACATACGAACATGGCAAAACAATGGTCATAGCATCCTTGCAGCTCAAAACATGTGATATGAGACACATAAACATATTTTCAACAAACTGGGATATACACACAAATAAATGTGCTACAAACATTTGATTATGTCATCAACGCCTTCTGAAAAAAATGCATTTCAACATACAGCTCCAAAAAACAAGCAGCCTCTCGGCTGAGATAGCTCCGCTGTTAGCGATGCACATTTCAATTAAAGAACAGAAGATATCATTAGAAAATGAACAATATGCATAGTATCAATGCAATGGGACTGTTTTCAACAAGAATTCAAATATATCATTTTTCACCATAAATGATTGTGGTTTTTAACAAGAAGTCGAAAATATCACTTTTTACCAAAAATGACAAAAATATTCACCAAAATTAGAGAATTAAAGGTATCATTACAGAATGAACAAATCTGAGAGAGGTCCACAAGTAGTACCTATATATGTAATATCAAAGCAATTGGACTTGCGGTTTTTAACAAGAAGTCGAAAATATCACTTTTTACAAAAAATGACAAAAATATTCACCAAAATTAGAGAATTGAAGATATTATCATGAAATGAACAAACCTAAGAGAGGTCTACCCAAGGTACATATACACCAAGTATCAAAGCAATCAGGCTTGTAGTTTTCAAGAAGAAGTCGGAAAAGTAAAACATTGACACGGATGACGACGAACAATCACTCATATGATAAGCTCCGCTCGACAAAGTCGACAGCGGAGCTAAAAAAAGAAAACCGAAATTCAAGTTCAGAATCGTTTGATTTTTGCAGCAATGACTTCCCATCTTCAACGCAATACGCAAGATTTCGCATAATGAACGCGCAATGACCTACTATTGACTCAGATACGAGTCATCAAGCAGTTTTCTCACCATATGTACTCAACTGAAATTTTGCAATCTGAGAAATCTCTTCTGCCGTAAGAATAATAAAAAAAGTAGTTCGGTGTCAATATTATTTTCATCAGGGTTCTGTTTAGCAAAAGAGAATAAAATAGAGACATATGGCAAAAGTCATCAAAATCAAGTAATAAGTTTAAATGGTAGCAAACAAAAAGTATGTAGCTAGAATTTCAAATTACCAGTATATTGCAATTGCCCAGAAAATAGCAGCCCCTTTTGGCAAACTAGACCGTACACATTCTTGTCTAACTGGTGTCTCAAGTCGCATCACTATAAGTTTAACTCATTAAATTAAATTCCAATAAATCAAAAGCAGTTATATTTCCTTCTTTCTTTCATAGGTAAGGTTAGGTCATAGTTTTGCAAACAAAATCATGAGAAATTTTCATGTCACCTGACATGTCATGTGACAAGCTCAAGTCACCTGACATTAAAATCACATGACATGCTCAAGTCACCTGATAAATCCAAGGGGTAAAGCAAACACGAAAATAACCTTAACACTCCAACTCTCAATGTTATTGTATATGCCCCTCTAGATAACTATACGTGTCCAGAAGAGGGTACATACAATTAAATGGGGGGGGGGGGCACAAGTTTAGAATTACCAGTAGAAATTCTTACTGGTAAAATGATTTCAATAGAGACTGTTAAACTACCTCAGGAAGGAAATATATCATACATTTTGTATTGGTAAGGGACGACGTCAAAAGATCGATGTCGGATAAAAAACTTATTTCCTTTAGTTTGGGAATGGGGCGTTTTGATCTCAAAAAGTTTCCATCCTACAAAAACGATTTTATTTTTTAATGAAGTCAAAAAAATCTTGGAGTATTTGTAGTTCGTTTTTTTTTTAACCAATCATGGACAGAAATAACCGAAAAAGAAAAAAAAAACAGAACAAGCAGCCTCTTGGCTGAGGTAGCTCCGCTGTTAGCAATGCACATTTCAATTAAGAACTGAAGATATCAATAGAAAATGAACAATATGTATAGTATCAATGCAATGGGACTTGCTGTTTTCAACAAGGATTAAAAAATATCATTTTTCACCATAAATGATTGTGGTTTTTAACAAGAAGAAAATATCACATTTTTACCAAAAATTACAAAAATATTCATCAAAATTAGAGAATTAAAGATATCATTACAAAATAAACAAATCTGAGAGAGGTCCACATGTAGTACCTATATATATAATATCAAAGCAATTGGACTTGCGTTTTTTAACAAGAAGTCGAAAATATCACTTTTTACCAAAAATGACAAAAATATTCACCAAAATTAGAGAATTAAAGATATCATCATGAAATGAATAAATCTGAGAGAGGTCTACCCAAGGTACATATACACCAAGTATCAAAGCATTCAGGCTTGTAGTTTTCAAGAAGAAGTCGAAAAAGTAAAACATTGACACGGACGACGGAGGACAATCACTCATATGATAAGCTCCGCTCGAAAAAGTCGACAGCGGAGCTAAAAATGGTTTGGTTCGAGTGTAAATCTGTGCGTCAAATGTAAAGTCTTTTTACACCCACCCGACAACCAACTGCTATGCAATACTACTGTCCGATTATCAATTTGTATTTAATGTGAATGTAGTCTGACGCCATGACCAATATTTATCAATTAAGTTTCAGTGGGGGTAGGGGGGTTTGGACAAAAAATAAAGGAATTAAGTTTTTTATCCGACATCGATCTTTTGACATCGTCCCTAATTGAGCATGTACGTTGATAGAATTGCTACCAGTACATCTATGTGATTGAAATTTTTTATGTTTACCCATACTGCATTACTCAATTCAATTCATGTCCCATATTTAATACATTTCAAGATCACTAAAACCTGTGCAGTAAAAAACAAACAAACCATTACATGCGCAGATCAAAGCAAATAAGATATATCTGCGAAAAATACACAAAATACGCCCCAGAGTAACTAATAGTACGTGGTACAACATATGATGAAACTGAAACTTATCCCACAACCACATATCATTTAATCCATAGACTTTAAAATACACACTGTAAAAGTGTTAATTATTCACTGGGTTTTAATTTTGCTCATTTTGATGACTGGAAAATGTGCTAAATTAAAACCCAGTGAATATGTACAATTTAGCATAGAACACATTATCTAAATGATAAAACCATGAATTTAAAACCCACTGAATATGCCTGAAATGCTAAATGAGTGAAATTTAAACCCAGTGAAAAATATTCATTTTACAGTATTCTAAGGTCTATGGTTAATCTCGTCTTAAAGTTATGGTCATACCAATCTTTACATAGCAGAGGTCGATGTGAACGTGGAATCATCTGAGTCGTATCAATCTTTGAGCAGCTGAGATTGATGTGAATGTGGAACCAGCTGAGTCGTATCAATCTTTGATGTAAACCCGAGTACATACCTTAATTTTATTATTATGCATTAATTACTATTACTGTGTATATATTTCAGATATGATGCATTTCTTCCTATAAATACGTTGTCTGTAACGCATCCTCTAATAGTCACACTGACTACTGTAGCAGCAAATGTATCATTATAGTACTGTAAAATCTGTATTAGAAGCTGCGGCTTCTATTGAAATGGTGCAATGCAACAGAAGGGATGCAGCTTCTATTTGAGCATCTGCACATATGAGAAATGGTGAATTTTTCGTTTTCAATTGTTGAAAAAAAATGGGTGCGACTTCTAATACAGATTTTACGGTATATTATATAATAAGGGGATCTGGACTGATCAAATTTCTTTTTTTAACAAATAAGAGAGAATTAAGCACTGTTGTTGTCATGGTGAAGTCCTCTTTGGTCACAGCAGACATCATTAATTTACCGGTAAAGCTGTCCTGAAATAAGGCAAATATTGCAACATAAGAGGCAAGAAGCAGAATAAAATTAAAAAAAATACAAATACAATAGCCCAATACAGTTAATTGTTGATAAAATGGACCCTGTCATGGAGTATAAACATGTTATCATACATACAGTGTTTGCCCTTAATTAGCCACCTTATGTTAATTTGCATAAATTACCCGGTACACTTGCTACCTGCATGCAATGAAACTGTACACGTCTATAAATCTATAAAATACAGTCACTGCACAAACACCACCAATGGCATAGAACTATTAAAAGTATGTTTATGTGAAGATAATTTTATGAATCAGTGCAGTAGAGTTGGTTATAAACAATAAGGTGAATACTGAGTGCATGAGATTTTATGTGAATAAGTTTGTCATTTTTTTTTGCAGAGCATTCGTATGGCAGAGCTGATTTGCTTGGAGTCTGGACATGATGGAAACCCCATCACAGTCAGGCTCCCAGCAACTTACTGCAAGGGTGTGTGTGTGTGTGTGTGTGTGTGTGTTGGTGTAGACGTAGAAGTAGAGACAGTAGTCCAGACATACAGAAACAAAGTGGAGCCCTTTGTACAAGTGGAGCCCCAAACATGGGGCTTCACAATGTTTCATAATTTATATTAATATTTAATCAAATTTAAGTCAGGTTTGCAAAGCTTAGGTTTA